TTACCTCCGCCTGAAGATACGCCACAAATCTCTGGAATCAGAGATTTGGTACGAGTTTACTCAATGTAAACATTTTAACGAGGACGTCATTTTAGACAAAATAGAACGTGTGCAACAATCCAGAAAGGGGTTCAAACTGGGCGACGGGGGCATGGAATTTGATATGTTTCGGGTCAAGTATCCCGAGGGAAGTGGTGGCCAGAAAACCAAACATTTACAAGTGAATAAGGAGACTTTTAAGAACAATAAAAGAGCCATCGTTCGGATCGTCAATCTCTGGGATGAATTTTGTTTAGAAAGAGCCATCGTCGTCACTCGATTACACAGTCAAAAACCGGAACATCCAGACCCCGAATGGGAAAAACAATGGAAACGCACGAGATTAGGAGATGTAAGAGCCAATGACCAGAAGAACCAAGCCATAGCCCTCATGGAACAGGCCGAGTGTGATATCACTCAAGCTTGTGGATATGCAGAGTGGACGAAATTACAACAGGTGTTAGCTCCCCAGTATCGACTGAAAATATTTCAGTTCAAGTCTACTTCGACTAAACTCACCTTAGAGCGCATCTTCAAAGGCTGGGGAGATGGAACTTGTTTGAACATATTGTTAGACAACCATCATTACGATGCCATCATATCCATGCCGGGAGTAACGGGGAACCAATATTACTGTGATCATTGCGACGTGGGGTACAGTCATGTCACAGAACATCGCTCCAAGTGTCCTCATCGCTGTATCTATTGTTTAGGACAACACCCTAATTGTCCCGATGAAGGGATCAAGATTAAATGTCGGGAATGCCATGGAATGTTTAAGAACAGGACCTGCTACGAAAATCATTTAAGACCCCATAGTAAGAAGTCCACCACTACTGTCTGCAATTTAATGGAACAATGCGAGAAGTGTCAGTCTTGGATACCTAAGAAATTATTCCCTCATCACAAGTGCGGAGGACAGAAACAATGTAAGATCTGTAAGAAAATCGTCGATGCCGATCATCGGTGCTACGTACAACAGAAGCCCCAGAAGAAGACAGAGAAGGGGAAAGACACCTTACAGTTTTACATCTATTTCGATTTCGAATGCACTCAGGAAACCGGCATTCACATCCCTTATCTGTGTGTGGCACACCACGTCTGTCAACATTGCAATCAGCTAGACATAGACCAACCCTGCCCTCATTGTCAACACATGGGACCCCGTCAGCACCTATTTCAAGGACCAGACACCTTAAAGAAGTTCATGGACTGGTTATTACAACCCACTACAGGTACTAAGAATTCCACTTTAGTACACGACGAGGCCATCGTCATCGCCCATAACTTCAAAGGCTACGACGGACAATTCATTTTGAATCACCTGGTGCATTCCTCTTGCCTGAAACCTAACGTCATCATGACCGGTAGTAAGATCTTGTACATGGAAATATGCGGACTGAAATTCATCGACTCCTATAGTTTCTTACCATTTCCTTTGGCTAAAATGCCCTCCGCTTTCGGATTCGACGAATTGAAGAAAGGTTATTTCCCTCACTTTTTAATACGGAACAGAACCAGAATTACGTAGGACCTTATCCACCTTCAGCTTTCTACAAACCAGACGAAATCAGTGGACGACGGGCTTTTTATGAATGGTACGAACAACAGAGGGGGAAAGTGTTTGATTTCCAGAAAGAGTTTTTAGAGTATTGTGTCTCGGACGTCGACATTTTACGCCAATGCTGTGGACAGTTTAGAGCCACCCTCAAGACTTCGGTCAATGTGGACCCTTTCCAGGAATCCATCACTTTTGCCAGTGCTGCTAATTTAGCCTACCGTCGACAATTCATGCCTGAAGACACCATTGCCATCATTCAGAACCTCGGGTATCAACCGGCACGACAATATTCGGCTAAAGCCTGTGGGTGGCTCACCTGGATGAGTCAACAGACCGGATGTCACATACAACATGCCAGAAACGGGGGCGAAGTCCAGATCGGAAATTATACCGTCGACGGATACCAGGAAGCGACTCGCACCGTCTACGAATTTTACGGGTGCTATTGGCACGGATGCCCCACCTGCTATCCCAGTTTACAAACCGAAACTCATCCTCATCGGACCCAATTTACTTACCAGCAATTACACGAAGAAACCCTCAGAAGGACATTGACGTTGGAGGATATGGGGTATACCGTCCGTAGTATCTGGGAGCACGATTTCGATCAGCAAGTGCAAAAAGATGAGAGTTTACAGCAATTTGTAGGAAACCTGGACATTCCGGATCCTTTGAAACCTCGAGAAGCCCTGTACGGAGGTCGGACCAATGCCACTAAATTATATTGTGAGGAAGGGGACATGAGATACGTGGACGTTTGTTCCCTATACCCTTACGTGTTGAAACACAAACCATTTCCCGTAGGGCATCCCGAGATCATCACAGACGAGTTCCAGGACGTGAGAAATTATTTCGGTCTCATTCACTGTCGGGTCTTACCTCCCCGAGACCTCTATCACCCCGTATTACCTTATCGGACGGGAGGCAAGTTATTATTTCCCTTATGTCGCACGTGTGCCGAACGACAGGACTCTACGTCTCAAGATCGATGTCAACACACCGACCAGGAACGTAGTCTCACGGGTACTTGGGTGACGACCGAATTACATAAAGCCCTAGACATGGGGTATACCTTAGATCGAATCTACGAAGTATGGCATTTTAAAGAAAGCAGTCAAGAGTTATTCAGATCTTACATCGATACCTTCCTCAAGATCAAACAGGAAGCGTCCGGATTTCCCCCCGACTGTAAGACCTCAGAACAACAACAAGATTACATTCGACAAGTGTTATACAAAGAAGGATTCATGATGGACATTCTCAGTATCGAGAAGAATCCAGTGAGAAGAACCATTGCTAAACTCTTTTTAAATTGTCTGTGGGGAAAATTTGCTCAACGGTTGTTATTACCCAAAACCAGATACTTGGACGAAGAAGAGGAATTACAGCAACTCTTACAAGATTCGACCCTCGACATCAAGGGCATGCAACTCTTAGTCAATAAAGAGGACTCCAATAAGGACAAGATGCTAGTGAATTATCAAGACAAACAGGAATTCGTCGAATAATGTCCCTTTGGAAACGTGATCCTGGCTTGTTTTACCACCGCGCATGCCCGCTTACACCTCTACGAGACTTTACAACCTTTAGGAGATCGGGTCCTTTATTTCGATACGGACAGTATCATTTACCAACATCGGGAAGGAGCCTTTAATCCTACTTTGGGTAATAGTTTAGGAGAATGGACCGACGAATTAGACGGAGATCACATCATCAAATTCTTGTCGGCAGGCCCTAAATATTATGCTTACCGGACGGCAAAAGGAACCGAAGTTCATAAAGTCAAAGGAATCACTCTCAACCATCGTACCTCTCAGTTGGTGTGCCCAGACACTTTAGAAAAAATGCTCAAAGGAGAAATAGAGGAAGTGACAGTCCCTTATCCCGACAAAATCCAGAGGACCCGTGATCATGAGCTCGTGAACAAACCTTCAGAGAAAAAGTATAGAATTGTATATGATAAGAGACAATTGTTACCCTCTTATAACACTTTACCTCATGGTTATTGATATGTTTTACTTTTTGAATTAAAAAAAATTGAATTGTTTTTTTATGTGTTGATGACTGAGAAATTGCTAGATCAACCCATGCGTTATCCCCAGTATGCTCGGCTCTCAAAGAGAGAAGCTACTTTTGAGCAGGGATGGCCAGAACCTCTCTTAGGAAAAATACCAGACCTAGCTCGAGCCGGGTTTTTCTACAGGGGAGTGAAAGATAAAGCTACCTGTTTTCATTGTGGAATGATTTTTAGTAATTGGGATCCCGAGGACGATCCTTGTGTAGAACATGCTTATTGGAACCCCAATTGTCCTTACATCAATCTGTATAAGTGACGAGGGTGGGTGATGAATGTTTTTATTACGTGTGTAGATCAGCAGGGATATAAACCTTTACCTGAGATCAAACATCTACTGAACCCAGATCCAGACGTCCAGGCTCGAGGAAAATGTCACATTTGTTTAGACGAGGAATTACAAATCGTTTTTCTACCTTGCGGACACGTATGTTGCTGTGCTTTGTGTGCTCCTTCTTTTCAGTTTTGCCCCATCTGTCGAGGCGAGATTCAACAGTCCAAACGCCTATTTCTGTGTTAACTATAAATAGGACCCTGAACTCAAATTTGGTGTTTTCTATTGTTAAGCAAGCTCCTCAGTCCTAGATTTTTTTTGTCACACTCAGTGATAAAAGAATGAGATTTTTGAATTATTCCTAATTAAAAATTCTCTATTGGTTTTTTTCCTCTGCAAGTTAAAAAATAACTACACCTGAGAGTCTATATAAAAAGGAGACCTACAAAATCCTAGAGATCATTTCTGATCTGAGTGAGGGACAGAGCACATCATGGAAGTTTTAAGCTCAGAGTATCGTTGGAAAATAGTAGAACCTGAAGGTTCTAGTCAGAAAGGAGAATGGATGAAAAACAAAGAGGAATGTATTCAAGATTTCTTTGATAAGAATCCAGGACAAACAGGTCTCAATGAAATCTACCTGTATAAGAGAATAAAGTTACCTGATCCCATAGGGGACAGCATCCTGCTCTTAGCAGGACCCAGACATCCCAAGTATCGGGAATTCAAATGGAAAATCAAATATGTCTTGCCTCACCAAAGAGAGGGACCCGAAAGCACTTTGTTTCAAGGGAAATGGATAGAAAAACCCGGAGATTGTATTAAAGATTATAGTAAGAAAGTAGCCCTAAAAGGATACAATATCAAGGCCTGTGGTAACCGTTGTAAAACAGATTATTTGTACATGAGGAGACCGTTCCCCATACAAAAAGAACTGAAGAAAAGTTTTGAATGTTTGTTATCATGATGTTCTTGTTGTTGTTATGAATAAAAAAAAAAGAAAAAAACCCAAAAATTCTACAGACCCTGAGACGTGCTACTACCCCAAAAAAGCGTGTAAGAATCGTGCGCTTTCCGTTTCGTGCAAAACGTGTAGCGTTTCGTGTAAACCGTGCAGCGTTTCGTGCAAACCGTGTAGCGTTTCGTGTAAACCGTGCAGCGTTTCGTGTAGGCTCCAAAGCGTTTCGTGCAAACCGTGTAGCGAGCGTGCGAGAAACGTGTGAGTTTCGTGTAAGAACCGTGCGAGAAACGTGCGATTTTCGTGTAAGAACCGTGTGAGAAACGTGTTGCGATCATTCGGAACTCCCAAGCCCCTTCACTTTGAAAATGGCTCCCAGACGAGGTGGAAGGAGGTTGTCGTTGTCGATGAGAAACTGTATCCTTGATTATCATAAAGGGGGGAAATCGACTGTGCAAATCGAAAGAATTCTTAAGAGCAACCATAAATTCCAAACCACCCGACAGAGTATAAGGCGGTTCCTCAATCGATATAAACGGACAGGGAGTGTGCATGATCAAAGGTTTGTACAACGTTTTTAATTATAAAAAAATACTTAGATCTAAAGAGAAATTTATTTGTAGACAAGGTAAAGTTATAGAAATGAAGTACTTAAGCGATACATATTTAGTATTTTGTAAACTTTTTAACATCTTTAAGTTGACATCGTCAAGTATTTTCCTATTTCAACATGTTCAAATCAAACGATCGTATTTTATTAATTTTGGATGCGTAAATATACTGTACATGTAAGAGTGATGATGTATGTCTGGTAGTCTAATTTTAAATCACAAGTTTGACTATTGTGGGTTTTTTTTAATTCTAAAAATATCTATAGACCTACTAGAATAGATCCATGAATATAAACAATCAAAATGGCCGCCATCGGAGATGCGCAAAGCGTTTGTAAAGCATGTACTAAAAAGGCTCATCCGAAATTACCGAAAAAAGTTCTCCAAGGTGTAAGGGGTTATAAGGTTAATGTGACGATAATCATAAAGTTACATGGCAGTATTTAGTGAAACCGTGACTAGTACATGTACAGTACCTGGCCATAAGTGAGTCATATTTTTTTTTACACTAGGGTTCATTAAAAAACCTGTTTTCATAAAAACTTGTTGTGAAGTCAATTTTAGCTCAATTTTCATGATTTTTTCACTGAAACATGCAGAATTATTCAAATTTTCTAATCTTAAATGATAAACAAAATGATACTGAAACTATTGAGAATAAATCATAAAATATTGTCATGACAAAATTTTCTAACCTCAATTACTATGATTTCTTAACAAAAATTGAAGTCTTAAAATTTTATTTTGCACTTGACCTGTGATTTCACGGTAATGCATAAAGATAAAACTTTTTTGAAATAATGTGAAGAAACTACAACAAATTCTGCATTTTATGGTGTTTTAGACATTAAAAAGAAACAATAAATGACACTGCAAGAATATTTTAGAAAAATGTGTTTCCTAATGAAATATATAGTGGAAAAATAAAATTATGACTCACTTATGGCCAAGTACTATACAATATGAGCATGATGTACTAGGCCTATTCAATATCTGTTCGATTCGAGTAAAGAACTTTTCCACTGTAGCTTTATTTAAAATTTATTTTTTAATGCAACGCATTTCTCTTTACACGTATCATGGCTATTCCTCACTCAATGTGTGCGTTTTTTTTTTTTTTACAGGAAGCCCAGAGGTAATGAATTCCGCAAGGTCACTGAACTACATCTACAGTTTGTGAATATGTGGATGTCTTGTAATCCTGAGATGACAGCCCAGACCGTTTTAGAAAAACTTGAAAAACAATGTGGCATTAAGTTATCCAGAGAATATGTGTGTGAAATAAGAAGACGCCTGAACTGGTCTCCAAAGAACATGAAATATGGACAATTAATTTCCCACAAGAATGTGAAGCATCGACTGGAGTGGTGCATTACCCAGCTGATCCAGAAAGACTCTTTTCAGGATGTGATATATGTGGACGAGTCAACTGTTGAGATGTGTTCTTCTGGTAGACTGTTCTTTCATCAGGATGGTTCAAACTTGGATCGCTTACCGGCTAAAGCACCCAAACCAAAACATTCTTACAAGGTGAACGTCTGTAGTATTGTTAGTTATTTCCCTATAGACACACAAATAAGCGCTCTCTCTATACATTAGGTTTTGTAAGGATGACGTCACAATCACGGATTTGAATCGCTGCCAAGTATTACCTGTGTAGTCAGCATAAAAAACGTAGGTAAAAAGGTATTGATGCACACGGCCCTAATTTTTTGCACACGGTCCTTACAGATGATGCAACAGGTATAAAAAAGATGATGCAATAGATATAAATAGATGATGCAACAGATATCAAAAGATGATGCAACAAGTATAAAAAAGATGATGCAACAGTAAAGGTATATAAAGCGGAGCTTTATTCAAGAGGTATATCACAAAAAACTCTCTCATTCTGAAAAAAAGGACACGAAACAAGTCAGACGTGTTTTGTTTCCCAAAGATGCAGTATCGTTGGTATTGTGAGAGTCCCTTCACTCAGTTCATGTACATGCAAGGAGGATGGATGAAAACTAAAATAGGAGCCATCATGGATTTCTATGAAAATCATCCAGGCAATTCCCTGGAGAATGTGTGGTTGGAAAAAATAATGAAAATCCCCTATCCTCTAACAGGACCTAGAGTGAGGGTGAAAATCAACCAAAAATATCACCAATACAAATGGGTCACCTGTACTCAATATGCTATGAAAGATGGGACACCTGTGAACATGGTACTGAATGAAAGTCTTTGGTACTCGGACATTGGAGATTGTCTGAAATATTATTTCAAGATGGAGAAAAAAGAACTGACTTATCCAGATTATCACGGTGTTAGGCAGTACTTGTATTGTTGCATCCCACAAGATGAAATGCTCCCATTAAGCTTGACTTAATGGTAGCTTATAGGTGCTTAATGGTGGCTTAAAGGCCGCCTTTAAACCACCATTAAGCCACCATTAAGCACCTCTAAGCCACCAGTAAGCTTCCATTAAGTAACCATTAAGCCACCATTAAGCCAAATTTCTAACTTAATGGTAGCTTAATGGTGGCTTAATGGTTACTTAATGGTGGCTTACAGGTCCTTAATGGTTACTTTTAGACCACCATTAAGTCACCATTAAGCCACCATTAAGGTAGACTTACAGGTGCTTAATGTCCATATTAAGCTACCATTAAGCTACCATTAAGCCACCATTAATTCACATTACACCGTCGATAATATTGTTTTTATGGGTGAAAAATTATTTTTGGAGTGATTTGTTATCAATATTATAAATGAAGAGTTCGCAGATATCTTGATTTGGTAAAAATATTGTAAAAAGAACGAAATTCAAAATTCCAACAAAAAAACATCGCCGCTGTAGGGGCGCGATCCCATGACCTTCTGTTTTCAAGGCGAACGCCATATCCATTAGGCTATCGCCGCTCTTGCGTGTAGAGGAAAATATTCAATATTTAACTTTATTTTTTTTTCAAAATTTTTTTTGGACTAGGAAAAGTAATTAGTAGTATTTTGTTGAACGTTTCAAACAATCTTGAATTAATTAATTCATCAATATAAAAACAATATTATTTGTGGATCTTTTTGAAAGGCTTTTATCACATTAATATATCTACATTGAGTTCGGATTTTAGATTGATGTGATGTGATGGATTTCTTCGCTGTGTTATTCGAAAAATTTATACATGTAAGCATTTAAATCATGATTGAAAATAACTTCATTACAGATAAAACGCAAAAATCTATCATCGAAAAAGAAAGACGAAAAACAGATTTTCCTGTTTTTTTAAAATATATATACATGTACTGCGGTTATAAACGGTTTCTGTGTCAACAATTTAGTGTCAATCCTCGCGTAATCTTGAGTTACCTGGTTAATTACGTTTACAAAAACTTTTTTTAGAATATCATATTCAGTTTCAATTCTTTCTGTATCATAATGGGTATCAAAATAATTGACTTTTTACGATGAATCATAATTTTTAATTTGTTAATTGCTTGCGTTAAATTTAAATTTTGTAAAAATAATTGATCATCAAAATCTAGTTCTAAGTGTACGTTGTGTGTGTATAGTTCCCTGTTAGTTAACCGGGGACGGGGGACACCTAATTAAGGTCTATTGTCTGACCAGTCGGTGTACTGTACACTGATAATCTGTTAATCTTATCCGTTTCTCAATGTGTATAAATCTCGTCGGATGTCATGTTTAGTCTGATCGGCTGTTCTTCTGAAAATTGATTTTGAAGTAACAATCATCCAAGACCGACTTGATTTTGACAGATACTTATAATTACCGCTGCATTTAAAAAAAAGAAATAAAAGACCATCTAGATTTTGACAGATACTTAGCATGCTTACCGCTGTATCTAAAAAAAAAAATTAAAAAAATAACGTATTAATTAGAATTATTCATGATGTAAAAGCAGTGACCTATATAGGTCCCAGGTAAAAGTCAATCTTTGAAAACTAAACATTTGTATACCAATACACCCCCCCCCCCAAAAAAAAAAAAAAAAAAAAAAAAAAAACAGCGAGATTATCTGACTTAAAGTTATATTCCCGTGAATTCTGTAGTGGAATTTTCTTTGTTTCTTCAATCTTTAAAAACTAAACATTTGTATACCAGTAACCCCCCCCCCCAAAAAAAAAAACAGCGAGATTATCTGACTTAAAGTTATATTCCCGTGAATTCTGTAGTGGAATGTTTCTTTTAACATATGAAATATATACACCATTTTTACAAAAAAAGTAATGTATTTTGTGTTCATGGATAAAGATAATTTAAGAACAAATGGATTTTGGGTATTGAAAATTTTAGATATTGCACAAGGACTTGCTCACGGTGTGTAATAATTATTTATTTTTAAAAATCATATATACACTAAAAATAAAAACACCGCATGTAATAATGATTTATTATTTTTGTTTTAAATAATATATGGCACTGATAAAGGATGTTTTATTTTATTATCACTGTAGATGATTTAAAAAAATAATAATAATTAGACACTGGAAGCAAGCCCCCGTGGCTGTTAGCTAACGTTGTTCTCAGTGTTTTCAAGTTTATGCATGTTGTCAAAAAACTCGTAGAAATTACGATCGAGAACAAATTATGAGTCAGTATAAATTTTGCGTAAATGATTTTAAAACAACTAAAAAATAGTTCAAAGATTCTATATAAGATGCTTAAAAGTTAAATGAGATTTGACCATTAAGTCACCATTAAGCTCAGCTTAATGGTGGCTTAATGGTAGCTTAATGAAGTTTGGACATTAAGCACCTGTAAGTTGCAGCTTAATGGTGACTTAATGGTGGCTTAAAGGAATTAACTTCTTTAAGCCACCATTAAGTCACCATTAAGCTACCATTAAGCGATTGCTTAAAGGTTGTCTTTCGTCTTGTGTCCCCTTTGCCCAGATTAAAGAGTCGATGGAAAACAAAGGACTTTTGTTGACTCGAGTGATTGAGGACCGATCATCAGAAGACGAAGACAAAGAAGAAGAAATAGAAGTGTAAATCATTGAATAAAATTTTTTGATTTTTTTAAAAAAAAAAAAAGAAGTGTTGTTATAAATAGAAGGGTCACAGGTCCTTTTTTTGTTGCTAAAGTATCTCACTGAACATGGTCATTAATTTAGACAGGTATTATTTTTTACTTCTTCAATTTTAAGGTATAAGGTCAAAATGATTCAATTTCACATGAACACAGTTCAAAGAAAATAAGTCTGTCTAACATACAACTGGGAAAAAAGCCATAAGTTTTTCTAAAAGTGCTGTTTTTATTGAGATTGTGCTAGTGGTTACAGACACTTTTATTTATTCAATTGGACAAAAAAAAACCCCACATGTGGTACAAGTCAAACATATAGTAAACAAATATAAGATTAAGAATGCAAACCTGCATGGCTTTTCAGTTTCACTCCTGTTTATGTATGGGTGAGGTGTATATATATATATAAATATATATATATATATATATATATATATATATATATATATATATATATATATATATATATATATATATATATATATATATATATATATATATATCATCCCATTATTAATAATTTGGCATAAAAAATGCATTCAGTTTTATGCAGTTCACCTATGAGAGTCTGGTAATCAAGAAGAAAAATTTAAATGTTAAATTTAAAAAGAAACTTTAAGATTAATTTTATCAATTGAATTCAATTTTATAATTTTTTAAACTATAAAAATCAGGTTTTCCTTGGACAAAAGAAAGGGATTCAACCCCTCCCTCCCCTCTACCCTTGGGTGTTGGGTAAGAGTAACTTTACACCATCCTCCTTTCATAAAAAGATTATTTACACGTCATAGCCACTATCTACATGAAATGACATGAGTTATAAAGGAAAAAAGGGTTTTTCCAATGTTCCTTAATTTAATGTGGATATATAGTTTTAAAAAATTATGACTACTTGGAAATGTATATGTCTTTTGTCTTTACCATCCCTTATAACAGAGATTCTTCAAAACTGAATGAGGAGTTCCATGAGTTTAACTTATGATAAGAGCGTTCCTTAGGTTAACAAGTGTATAGATGATAGCTAATGCTGAATCATTATATTTTGATATTTATGGATATTCAAGAATGTATGATATTGAAATTCTAAATATGTATAGGTCAGGTAATGTTTGAAATTTCCATCATCAGAAAATTTTATTTGACTGTATTAAAAGCAGTAATTCTAGATAAACATTAATAAGAAGATTACACAAACACTGTAAATCATTCAAAAAAATAATAAAACATAAAAAATAAAATGTGCTTTATTTTTTTTTTAAATGTAAACTGATATATTTCAATAAAAACCACACATATAGACTTTCCCATATTCCAACTATATTTAAACTAAACACATTCTATTCATCTTAAATATTCACGCAGAATAAAAGGCGAATTCCTAGAATTCTTATTAATCTCTTCTCCAATGTTGAGTGAATGTGTTCAAGTACGACTTAATTTTCTATGTAAATAAGGCCGCCATGGCGAATCTCGACAAGATTTTTACCCCAGTGAAAAAGGCTTGTAATCCACCCTGTAGGTCGTTTAAAGTTGTTACACATTGTTTATGATTGTGATTATGTTATCACTCACCTATTTGTTTAATGCCAGCTATGCTAAATAACCCATTTCTGTGTAATTTGAGAGAATGTTTTTGTCATGTGCTGAAAGTATGGCCTGCTATTCATCATTTAAAGTCGATCCTAAATAAATCTGTCTTTATAGGTATTCATATATATAAGAGATATTATTTTGCATTACATTTATAAGAGGTATTGTCTCATGTAATTTAATAACAAAAATGGGTTTTTATTTTTCTATACAGTCCTCAACCTGGAAGAGATATGTTTTGTTCCTAACCATCTATAATCCATTCTCTATGAAGTGAAGCATGGCTGCTGGTCTTCCTTTGGAAATACACAGTGAATCAATTATGATAAAAACAAAAACAAAACTTGAATTTAAAAAAGTTTCAATGAGATATCATTTTAATTTATTTTCATTATTATTAGTAAGATAATTATTTCAAATGTTTTATATTTTTTTAAAAATGGATAAAAATAAAATCTGATAATGGAAAATCAATACTATAAAGATAGCAAAGTTTTGACTCCAATTACTGATGAATTTCTGAATTTTCCATTAAAATATTTGACATTATATCACAGGGGAAAGAAAAAAAAAACTACTTGAATGTTTCTACTGATCCCCCAGAGATCTGCTTATGAGTGCATGGGGACTGCTGTAAACCTTCATCTCCTGTTTAAATATACTTTGGAGGCTGGCGCATGAATCTTCATTCACAAAAGGTACTTTCAATATCAATAATGCCACCCATGTATTTTAAAAAAGATGTCTTTTACATAGGTGTATAGAGAGAAACCAGTGTCAGAACACAAACAGGTCAGGACAATCACTTATGCAGTGTACTTCCATAGGTTGGTTACACACTCATATCTTTGGAGGAATGCTATACCAAAAGACAGTTAAGATAATATGGTATTTATATTTCTCTAAAATTTTAGGTATCAACAGTATGTCTGTGGAAGTTCCATTATTCTTGGGAGTTATGCCCAGCAACACAAACCAATCATGTCCAGCATGTACATTGGATCTGCTAACTTTACTTTAGGATTCCTAGGATTTCAAAAGTTCATCATGTTCAGGTTTTTTTTTTTTTTGTTTCGATATTGTATGTGTGAAGAGAATGTAGACTTTGATTGGTGTTAATAACAGTCTTTTAAGATAAAAATGTTAAATTAGAATACAGCGAAATAAATAACCATTGGTAATTACTTAAATACTGATACAGATTTGAACATTGACAAAAATATTATTTAGTAAAAAAAATTATGACAATAAGAGAAGACAAAAGTTAACTTGATGACTTTCTGTCAATAAAATATTTTCAAGTCATTTCTTGTACTTTATTATCATATCAGGAAAGAAGACATTTTAATTGGTAAATGAAGGAGAGAAAAATTGGAAGGGAGAAGGTGTATAGTTTACATGGTGCATTTAAAGTACTATGACTAGGGTGAAGAAGCTAAAGGTGATTTCACTTGGATAACTGAGGCTTGGTTAACTGAGGAACAGAAACAACACAGCTTTGTGGTATGGATTATTTATGAAGAGTTATCACAGGTAGCATTTAATTTTTTGGAGAGAAAAAAAAAATGATTCTAGATGTACTGAGATATCCAGGACTTTGAGATTAATGTTCAAGATAGCAAAGTTAAATGAACATGTATTAACTTGTTTTGCAAAAAATCTGTTTTTAGTAGAATTTGCTAGGGCTGTATCAATATATCGATACGTATCGATATTCCAAAAAAAAAAATATTGTATCGAAAAATAACTTCAAATACGTATCGGACCAAGATTTTTACCCCAGTGAAAAAGGCTTGTAATCCACCCTGTAGGTCGTTTCAAGTTGTTACACATTGTTTATGATTGTGATTATGTTATCACTCACCTATTTGTTTAATGTCAGCTAAGCTAAATAACCCATTTCTGTGTAATTTGAGAGAATGTTTTTGTCATGTGCTGAAAGTATGGCCTGCTATTCATGTCATCATTTAAAGTCGATCCTAAATAACTCTGTCTTTATAGGTATTCATATATATAAGAGATATTATTTTGCATTACATTTATAAGAGGTATTGTCTCATGTAATTTAATAACAAAAATGGGTTTTTATTTTTCTATACAGTCCTCAACCTGGAAGAGATATGTTTTGTTCCTAACCATCTATAATCCATTCTCTATGAAGTGAAGCATGCTGGCTGCTGGTCTTCCTTTGGAAAATACACAGTGAATCAATTATGATAAAAACAAAACTTGAATCTAAAAAGTTTTCAATGAGATATCATTTTAATTTATGTAATTATTATTATTAAGATAATTATTTAAAATGTTTATATTTTTTTAAAAATGGATAAAAAAAATAAATCTGATAATGGAAATCAATACTATAAAGATAGGAAGTTTTGACTCCAATTACTGATGAATTTCTGAATTTTTCCATTAAATATTGCCATTATATCACAGGGGAAAGAAAAAAAACTACTTGAGTGTTTCTACTGACCCCCAAAGATCTGCTTATGAGTGCATGGGGGATTGCTGTGAACCTTCTCTCCTGTTTTAAACAGACTTTGGAGGCTGGCGCATGAATCTTCATTCACAAAAGGTACTTTCAATATCAATAAGGCCACCCATGTATTTTAAAAAGATGTCTTTTACATAGGTGTATAGAGAGAAACCAGTGTCAGAACACAAACAGGTCAGGACAATTACTTATGCAGTGTACTTCCATAGGAAGGTTACACACTCATTTCTTTTGAGGAATGCTATACCAAAAGACAGTTAAGATAATAGGGTAGTTATATTTCTCTAAAATTTTAGGTATCAACAGTATGTCTGTGGAAGTTCCATTATTCCTGGGAGTTATGCCCAGCAACACAAACCAATCATGTCCAGCATGTACATTGGATCTGCTAACTTTACTTTAGGATTCCTAGGATTTCAAAAGTTCATCATGTTCAGGTTTTTTTTTTTGTTTCGATATTGTATGTGTGAAGAGAATGTAGACTTTGATTGGTGTTAATAACAGTCTTTAATAGATAAAAATGTTAAATTAGAATACAGCGAAATAAATAACCATTGGTAATTACTTAAATACTGATACAGATTTGAACATTGACAAAAATATTATTTAGTAAAAAAAATTATGACAATAAGAGAAGACAAAAGTTAACTTGATGACTTTCTGTCAATAAAATATTTTCAAGCCATTTCTTGTACTTTATTATCATATCAGGAAAGAAGACATTTTAATTGGTAAATGAAGGGGAGAAAAATTGGAAGGGAGAAGGTGTATAGTTTACATGGTGCATTTAAAGTACTATGACTAGGGTGAAGAAGGTGATTTCACTTGGATAACTGAGGCTTGGTTAACTGAGGAACAGAAACAACACAGCTCTATGGTATGGATTATTTATGAAGAGTTATCACAGGTAGCATTTAATTTTTTGGAGAAAAAAAAAATGATTCTAGATGTACTGAGATATCCAGAACTTTGAGATTAATGTTCAAGATAGCAAAGTTAAATGAACATGTATTAACTTGTTTTGCAAAAAATCTGTTTTTTAGTAGAATTTGCTAGGGCTGTATCAATATATCGATACGTATCGATATTCCAAAAAAAAAAAAATATTGTATCGAAAAATAACTTCAAATACGTATCGGACAGACAGTTTTCTTCTAATTTTGTTAAAAAGATGGGAATTTCAATCAACAAAGATTATATTTTACTTTTTTTTTTAATTAAAACTGTTCAATAATTAAATGATTTGTAAGGAAATAACACAGTTTTTATAATCATTACAAAATACACAGAGAAATTTATTTGAACATGTTGATTTTACTGTCATCAAAAGTTTTAGTTTGAAGTGTTATTTGTAAAGACAATGAGACAAGAACTTTAGAATGAGTAATAAAACACTTAATTATTATAAAATTTATGCATTAAAATGATTTAGAAGCCACTTCTGATAGACTTTTTTAGAATCCAATATATCGCATATCACTTTAAAAAATATTGTATCGTATCGTATCGAAAACTTTGGCTCAATACACAGCCCTAGAATTTGCTTTCTTTAATACATAGATTTTTCCAATTCTATTCTCTTATGTATAAAAAATTTGTATAAATTAATTATGCTCAATCAACTTTGTGAAATATTCCCATCTTCCAATGCTTCTTATTTACATTAAAACAAAAATGACTCAAATAAAATTGGTTTTCTCATTTATTTTACAAGAAATAACATGCTGACAGTGAATCTAATCATTTTTTAAAACTGGTTAAAGTAATGTTTACAATTGTCTTAAAATGCTTAAATGCAAGTTTATTTCATAAACTAATACCTTAAATGTATAGACTGAATTTACTTATGGATAAACCCCTTTGTAGTAAAAACATTTTTAAAACCTGATTTTCTTGTTTATTCTCTCATATATTTCCTAATTTGAGTATTCTCAAATTATTGATTACATAAGCCAACAAATTTAAGACAAAACCACAATATATGCTGAATACCCTGAAATGAAATGGTTACATATGTAAGATGTGTAACACATCATGTACAACTTTTAAGTCTACAAAATTTTAAGTTAACCCTATTATACAATAAGACTACTTTTTTTCAAAGTAATGAAAAATTCTTTGCAAAAAATATGTCTTTATAAATGCAAAAGATAAATGTTACAGTTTTTTTAAAACATAGATTTTGCTACACTAACAGGGTATTCGGTATGACCAACTTTTCATATCAGTTCTTTACATTATCATATTTTAACAGTGATGATTATTATTTTTCTTTTCTGCAAGCAATGAAAAAAAAAATTAACACTACAATTCAAATATATTATTGTTCAATTTTAGGTCTGCATAAACAGATGATTAACAGATTATTAATAGCTGGCCATACCAAGTTTGAACCTGACCACCCCATTTTGGAGTATAGAAGCTAAATTGGAGAAAGTTAAATAAAGGAATTTTAGCAGAGGGAAATTTATTTTATCAGAGGTAAATTTATAGATGGGGATAATGAATTGGTATTTTCATGTTGTGCAATCATCCTTTCAGCATTGGAATTTTTTATTTAAATATTGTTTGAAAGAAAACATTTTTCTTTTTTCCAGATAGCACATTCTGTTCATCAGTCAAGGAAACATATACACAGTCTTCTACATATTGTCCAGGACCAGAAGAAAACCAGTGGTGTTTTATAATTGAAAACCTCAGTGACATCTCTTCAGAATTTTTTTTTCTAGACCTTTGAAATTTTAAACTAAAAAAATAACATGTATATCAAGAGAGAAGACTTGATATATATATATATATATATATATATATATATATATATATATATATATATATATATATATATATTAAAAGTTCTGAAAAAATAAAAAGACAGATATTCATGTATATTACCATTGAATAGAAAAAAAAAACCCTGATCTTTTAAATTTTAAGCTGTACAAAAGTTATCATTCCAGGAAATTTTAAAAAATATTGATGCATCTATACTCACATTAAAAAAATTTTGATTTTTTAATATTGTTTTTTGCTTGAGGGATGAAACATTAATTAGTGAAGGGAAATTATTTATTTTAACCCTACCAAATAATATAATTTTTTTAATGTTGCATGTTTTGATTTTCGTGTTCAACTTTGTCTTTTTTTTATGAGAAAAAACAAAAACAACAACAACAACAACAAAACATGAAGTGGGAAAAAAAAACCTTGCAGAAAAAACAGTTGGGATATGATGAGAGTTCATACTCATACAGATTTTTTTATTCTATAGTATTACCAAGAATTGAGAAAAAAAAAGTAAAAAAAAAAAAAAAAGAAAAATGACAATGAAAAAAAGCAGAGAAAAAAATTCCATGAATTTTTTAAACCTGAATAAATCCATTTGATTTTTTTGTCTGTTAACAAAAACAGCCTTTTTGAAAAATAGGCTATCCCCCTTTAACCATAGATTATTTTTCAAAACACAAAACAGGAGTTGAGTATTCAGTATAGAATGGGGAGGAAATGTAAATAAATGTAAATGATTTAAATGACATTTTTTAAGGTATAGTGATCAATGGTATCCCTCATCTTTTCTGTATTGTTAAAAATGAAAGATGATTTTTAAACTTTTAGACAAATCAAAGTTACATATAATCTAAAATCACATTTAAACTTTGCTAGAAAAAAGAAAACTACAAGGATTTTTTTAAAAAATGAAAGGAGTTTGTACCTACAAGTAATAGTTATCTACCTCATTTGCTTTCAATGAGTTATGGAGTTTGGGAAAACATGTTTTCTGAAGAAGAAAAAATAATAAAGTGAAAATTTTTCTTTTTACACAACAGAGAAATAAAAACCTATTTAATATCAGAAACTGTGACATGACCATGTTTTTTGGGACTGAAAAGACTAGAATGGGATTTTATACAATATATACATACATATCACAAAT